GAGAGGTGAAATGATAGTTTTAGTAGGTTTTCGAGTCTGCTATCATGCATCAGCAGACAGTAGGTTTGAAAGCTGATATTGTAGTTATCACACGGCCTGATGCAGCAGACCAAGTTTTTAAATTCCTACGTCCACTTTGTTCAGAAATTTTAAAATTGACCTGAGTCAGAAACTGAGATCACAAACAGAATGCATCAAGATTTGGGAACTGGTTTCAAGTAATTTCATCGAATAATTTGTCGGACAAATTATCACTGAATTTCTCCTTTACTGGTTTCTTGCTCACTTATTTGCAACGTTAACCAGACTTCTGAACTTGGGTCTTGGGGAGGAGTTGAAGGTGATTCTAGCATTATGGCTACGCGAGAAATGCGCGAATATGTTACGAAAATTTTAGCTTACTAACCTTCACTGTTCCTGACTTAAATTATTCCCGCAGACATACACATATACACAAACACATACGCACACATAGATACACAGGGCAAAACGTGAAAAAAAAAAAATAAAAATCGGGATGAATTAAATTACAGGATGCGAAGAAACTGTACAAAGCTGGCGAGCAGCGCCTGGGTACCGATGAATCTTGTTTCAATGCTATATTGGCTGCACAAAATTATGCTCAGCTAAGGCTTGTATTCCAGGAATATCAAAAGGTAAGAGTTAGAAACGCAGTGATGTGAATGGAGGTCATAGGCAATTTTTAGCGCATTGATTCTAGATTCTAGCGCATCTAGCGCAATTTCTAGCAGATGACATGTAGCAGAAGGTTTCGACAAGTTGAGTGATTTGACCGTTGAATACCGGAATAACTACATTTAGCATGTGACTGACTCTAAATAACTTTCTGGTAGGCCTTAACTTGTCATATCTGTGGTCGCGTAACTTCTGAAGCAGCACTAACTTCCTGTTTATAAACCGGAGGTAAAGCAGTGTTGTACTGCTCACACAAGTAGCCAGGACTGCCCAAGCCGTTGGTATGGAGATTCGGAATGCACATACGGTGCCCAGAATGTTGGTGTGGATAATCGATACTGCAAACGTACCAGTTCCTCCTGAGCAGTCTCCCTCCAGTATCGTCCCTCAGTTTGCACCCCATATAAGAGCTAACTGTCGGGAGCATCAGAATGAACATTTTACTTTCTTTCGGATATCACACGTCCATATGCAACATCTCTTGGTTGCTACCAGAGTTACCGGCATGTCTCAGATATCTGATATCGTTTTCTGTCTTGTTGGCTGAAGTAAGCTCCATATGAAGCGTCTAATTGTTTATGCAGGGTCAAGAACTCCAGGCAGTGCCTTTTCCTCTGTAACTCGCTCCAAACCCAAAAATGTTTTTGCTAAGGTGCTTAAAGTCGCACTGTTGGTGCGTGGGCGATAGCAGTATTCATACCCTGTTAATCCAGATAACGAATCACACGATCGAGCAGGCAATCGAGGCGGAATTCAGTGGCGATATTAAGGATGGCTTGCTCGCGCTCGTTGCCTGTATTCAAAACAAGCCTGCTTACTTCGCTACATTACTGTACAACAGCATGGTGGTATGCATTGTTTCGTACTTCATTGAGAATCGTATTTTCAGTCTTTTCGATGTTCTGTCTTTTAGACCAGGAGCAGGAAACGCTTCCCTATACTTCAGCGATTTGTGTCCCTTTAATGAAAGTGATAATGACTTCAGAGAAAATGTGTCGAAAAAAAATTTTATTCGCTCAAAAAAATTTTACTTCGCAAAAAAAAAATCCAGTTTCTATCAAAATTTTAGAGGAAAAAGTGTAAATTTCAGGGGCTGGGGACACGAGACACCGATTTGATTCGTCTTGCTGTGACAAGATCCGAAATCGATTTAGCCGATATTCGGCAGGAATTTGAGCGGAAGTACCAAAAAAGCCTGGAAGCATTCATCAAGGGTGACTGCTCGGGCGCGTACAAGGATGGCCTGATCGCACTTGTCCGAGGCAACTAGTCTCAGTTTTCAATTTTTTCTGTCCAAAAAAATTTGTCCTTCCGGAATATGTAGTGTTTCTGCGTCTTGTTTATTCTTACATCTATTGTTTGACGCTTCTAATAAATTAAAAAAAGATGTACTTCTCTTCGTACTTTGTTGAAAACGGCGACAGTCTTTTCAACTGATCTGAAAGAGAACTATCATTAGGGCTTTGTGTTTCTGAGATGTAACTGATCTTAAGATAAGAATAAATGGTCAGCGCACGACTGCCGGTGCGAAGATGCGTTTTTCGCATAGTTCTCTCAGATTTTTGTCGCTAACGGCACTACTTTTCCGGCAGATCTTCTAGCTAAGAGAATTGAGATTGCCACCAGAGCTGTCTGAAAAAAAATTGCCTTACAATTCCAGTCTTCCAACTTTTCAGGTCTCCAAGTTAGCAACTTACCCAAAAAAATTTTCACGAAGCCATGCGTGGGTACCACGCATGCCCGAGGGCAGGGTTTGAACTCATTAAGACGTACATGGATGGGAATCCCCAGTCTTCTAGCTTTTCCGGTTCCCAACTTAACAACTTACCTGAAAAAAATTTTGGCGGGCCCGTGCGTGGGTACTACGCGGGTGAGAGCGCCCATTTTGTGGGCGATGGCCCGTATATGGGATGTAGATTAAATTCCCAAAGTTTCAGCACTGTAGCTTTTGCAGGTCTTGAGATGGAAAATCGGCACAGACGAACACGCAGACACACACACACACACACACACACACACACGGACAGCCACTTGCCAATATGCATTTTCTGCATTGCATAGATGCAGATCTAGGCTGGAACGCACCAGGTTTTTGCACTAGATCGCTAGTAGCAGAAATGATCCTGCGCTGTAGCCTACCACTTGGGCTCATACTGGCCATGCTTTGGCCCGTTCTGGCATGCAAGAGAAAGGGTGTCGGTTGGGATAAAGGTGGTGCATTATAGAGTCGCTTGGACCTTCAGGTACATGGATACTAGTTTTCTGCATGAAGCCCGGTCGTTTTTTTTGGTAATTGCTCGCGTTTTGAAACCCAGGCTGGGACGCACCAGGCGAGCTGGTGTGATCATGCGTTTTTGCAACTCCGAAGTACCGTCTCTCTTGGGAGGGAGGGGAGAGGGGATGGGGAAGAAAGAAAGGGGTTCCACATTATGGCACCATTCAGCTGAAGACGGGGTTTAATCACTTGTGCGAATCGACGAATTGTTGGCCCATCGCTACCCCGCACAATGATCAGGACAACTTCAACTTCCTAGCTTTCCCGGTTCTGGAGATGAGGTGAACTGATACCTCATTTCCAGCTACCACTGCATTTCGCCGTTCCTCTCCTCTCTTCCCCCTCCCTCTCCCACCTAAGCCAGGATACCAACGACGTGAGCAGGATCGCATCCGCGCCCCTCCCCCCCACCTAATTAACTGCCATTAGCACGTGAAGTGAATTGAAATTTGTCGCCTATCGTAAGTGATCGTAGCCGTACGCCACGTTTGCGCCACTTTTGCAACGTCGCGACCATCCGTGCGGATGGTTTCAGCAGTTTTATTTGTTAGAGGTTTTTTTTTTCTTTTTCTGAGGGGCGAAGTGGGGGAGGGGGGGGGGTGGGCGTTCGGAGTTTGTCGGCGTTGCAGGAGATGGTGAAACTAGGATGCTTCAGCTCACTCCAACTCTCAAATTTGCATGTATGAGTTAAAACTGAGGTAAATGTATTATGTAATAGCAATTTTTTCGGGTGATGGGATTAGCCGGTTGCACTGCGTCCAGGAAGGTCGCGTGGATCGGCTGGACAAATGATAAAAATCGTCGCGACTATCCGTGCGGGTAGTTTTAACAGTTTTATTTGTTGTGGTTTTTTTTACTTTTTTTCGATGGAGGGTGTAGGGTTCGAGGATTTGTTGGTGTTGCCCGTCAGGGAGGTTTTTGGGGTATTCTTCGAGGTATCCAGTACTTACGGCAAGCATGGTCTTTGCGAAGACCATGCTTGCCGTAAGTACTGGATTTTTTGTTTCGTTAAGACTTCAGGATACATGGGCGAAAACTTACCAGCTTTCACTCAGCATCTGCCTTCCTGCTTAGCACCATAAAAATCAGACAATTCAGTCCCCACACAGTCGTTGCTCTCGTCTTCCTACTTCAAACAGGGTACTAGCTTTTCCCCAATATCCCAATCCCCTCTTCCCTCCCTCCCTCCTCCCGCCGCTCCTCAAAACGACCTCTGACACGCAAACCGTCACCATCAACCCCTTCCACTTTCATCTTACGTCACTTGAGAAGGGACACCATGGTGGCCGCAGCTTGCCTCTCAGTTCGACCGAGTTTTAGTAATTGCCTGCCTGTGCGACCGATCACGCATGCATTTTTATGCGTTTTTGCTGTGCAGCGCTATAGCAGCGCGCTGCTACAGCCAGCAAAAACGCA